GTCTTGGTTTTATACATACACAAATTAGTCAGGGTTTTATATAGGTAGAAGCCACATCTACCTCCTTCACCGAGTATCTTCCACAGGACCTGGCCTGTATGTAACAGACATTTAATTAATTGTTGTTTTGGGTTATTTTTTTGTTTTTGAGTGAATAAATGAATGAATGGCATGCAGCCCTAACTAGCTAACTAGTTTAATTTTTTAAAAATGTATAAATTAATATACTTATGCATTTATATATATTTGAGGAAGTATCCAAAGCCTCTGAAAGGAAGATTTGATGTTTTTGACAACAGCCTTTAAAAGTAGTCAAATTCAGGGACACCTGGCTGGCTCACTTGGAGGATTATGTGATTCTTGATCTTGGGGTCCTGAGTTCGAGTCCCATGTTGGGTGTAGAGATTACTTAAATAAATAAACTTTTAAAAAGTACTCAAATACCCTCAGTTAACAGGAAAGTCAATATGGCTCAGCTTTTTATTCACTTGTCTGATGCCAATCTGCAAAATAGGTCTGTCATAGTAGAGAAGGGTTGATGATGGAAATTTTTCTTTATAAAAGTTCCCTCAGCCAAAGGAGAGGTAGAAGTGCTTTGTTCTTTACTAAAACCCGAACATCAAAAGACTTAGCCCAAAGTATGGTCGAGGGAGCAACCCTTGAGGCTGGGTCCCTGATGACTTTCCTTCAAAGGCCTCTCTGCCCACTGAGCCACTATTCTATCTAGTAACATTGGGCAGGACAGGAACAAGAAGTTAATTCTACCTGTAACTCCTTTCTATGTGGCTTTTGAGAAGCTACCATTTGAACTCTTACTTTATAAAGTCATAGTATCAATGCTAACCTATTTGGCCAAGATATTATGAAAAGTAATTTAAGGCTTTAAAAAAAAAATCCATGGTGGAAGCCACATTTTTATACAGACTTGTCATAACAATGTTTGTTTCTCACTTTACTGGTTACTTCAAGGCCCAAAATGCAGTAATACATATGGTTAATATACATGGTTTGTTTTGTGTTCTGAAAAAGTATGCATGGTTTCAAAAAAAAGGGAAACTTCTTTTTTTCTTCACAGCCTTTCCCCCACTGAAACTGAAAAAGGAAAAAGAAATTATGCAAGCTTTTTTGAAGGTGCAGACAAATTTGGCATTTCACTTATGGGAAAATTTTGCAAAACTGTACTGACTAAAAGTGATTTTTGTTTTGGCTTTCCTGTGAAGCCATCCAGAAAGGTCAAAAATTACTGGCATTGCTTTTGTATGAAACATTTCACATAGACTCCACTTGTAATTCAGCCAAGTACATAATTCAGGTCATCGGTGACACACATATCCATACATTGGAGCTGGTCAGTGAACAGAAAGTAGTCATGAAATGTGGATATAATATTACCTTATGGATAGACCAAGTTGTACAGATTACAGCAAAGGAAACTTTGCATTAACATGCTTGGGAAAGGTTTCCTGAGTTGATCCCTTCCCCCACCCTCCCTCAGTGGGAAAGCCAATTGTTTAGTGATTAAGACAAAGACATCACTTGGCAAACATTTTGGCCTAAACTGTGTGATATCAGTCTCCTTTAGGGTTTTCCACATAAAACAAATTCTCCAGAGAAAACACAGAAATTGAACGTAAATTTGAAATCCATTTTTATACCCTTTAAGGTCTCTTTAACTTATCTCAATCATGTATTTCTTAATTTTTATTTTATTTCTAAGTAGATATTATCCAACATTAATAAGTGCTAAGCATTCACAGTGGCTTTTTTTGGAGTTTCAATCCAATAGTCCTTTATGGTTATCCTCACCCAGCTCCCTTTTTATGGGGGTTATGATATCTTTCTTTGTTTCTGTGTCCTGAGGGTCACTGATTTGGGAGTGGCTTCCCTCACTTTGAGGTAGGAAGTAAACATTACGCTTTGACCCCTTAGGACAAGTTCGTCTTGCTTTTGTGAAGAGTGGCTGTGTGCTCAGCGGAAGTACTCTCACTGAAGTTAGAAGGACTCCGTAATGTTGCGCGTGTTTTGTCACTTGTCACTGGGGAATGAAACAAAGGAGTGGTATTTCACTCTTGTGTAAGCCCCTTCTCTGTGTATATTTACCAGAAATTATTAGAGTTCTCCCACTTGCTGTTTTGTTAGGTGGGTTTCATTTAATATGTTGATGCGCATGGCCTTAAAGCAGGTATAAGTCCTGAGACCCACGGTCTCCCTGTTGGAGGCAAGGGAGCAGGGAGCACCAATGCCACAAGAGTGCCAGGATATGGGAGTTGTGTTGTTGGGTGTGCTAAGCAGGGGAAGAATTGTCTGCATATCAGGTGAGTTGAAAATAGGTTTAACATTCTCATATCCAAAGAGTTCCATCTGGAAGCTGTTCCTTGGCAAACAGAAATAGGTGAATATTCTCATATCTTCTGGAATGGCTGCTACATAGGGAATAAGAGTCACTCCAGTCACTTTTTCCTATTTTTTGGTAATGGTATATTCACTTTCATTATTCTTTAAGACAGAGAAGCTTTGTGTCTAAGGTTAAAATATATGATCTTTTAAATTCTTCCTCTTAAACCCCTTCTATATATGTAGAAATGGCATTCTTAATATACTGATTCCATGGTGTACAATTTACATTCACCTCACTGTTTTCCTTTTCCTCTAGCACATGGCCTTTATTCCCACTGAATTTTTGTTCCCATTTCTCAGTGTTGTTCTCTTTGCTCTCTTGTGGTTTAAATAATCTTCATCATCTGCCTCCCAAAATTACAGTGTTAAAACTTCTCCTAAGCCTTCCACCAGAATATACTTGAGATACAACAGTGAATTTTAAAACCGTACCTCAGACAGCCCTCCACAGTCCTACCCTAAATCTGCATCATCATCTTGCCTTCTCTGTTAATGTGGGAAGCCCCCTGGGCAGGAGCAAGCAGTGCCTCTATGTTCTATGGCAGACAGCACTTCAACCATGGTCAGTACATTTTCATAAAAATGAAAGATGAAAGGAAGTGTCTGTGTTCAGCAAGTTAGTGCCAAATAAGTGTGGAGGCCAAATGAGGCCACGGGTGCCAAACCACAGGGGTTCGAAATAATATTTAATATAATATTGTCTCATTGAATAACAAATCTCATATTGTAATGTCTGAGTCAAATCTTCCCTTGGTGCCAGACTTCTCCGTACTCCTTTTATCTTTCCCTCAAGATATTTCAAGTTCATAAGGGGCAAGGTAACAAGACCCCCTTCTAGGTAGTGAGTAGGAAACAAATCTGATGAATGTGGAAAGAAGTGAATGGGTGTGAGGGCCATGGATTCTCTGGGAATCTGACCAAGTGTCTACCATGATGTACACTGAAAAGAAATGGAAGTTTGCCATTAACCTAGCTATTGTGTAACTTCGTTTACCTAGCTAAAATATGAATTGTAAGTAGTTAGATAAAGTAGCTGAGACTATTAATATTTTAGAATAGAGAGCTCATAAGTAATTATATTTTTCTGTGATTGTTAGAATACAGCATCATGAAGTACACATGGAATAACTAAAGTGAAAGGACAGTTCAGTAAAAACTTGACATTGCAAAGATTGGTTATTTCCTATCTTTGTATTATTAATATAGAGCCTTAATTGTCCTTTCCATTTCAAATGGAGGCTCATACTTTCTAAGGTGGCTCAGAACAGACGGGCAAAATGGATCAAAATAATCTGCCCTTCATATGGTTATAAAATTTTTACCAACCAATCTTCTTTTTTGCAGCCAAACTTTTCAAAATAGTAGTTCACACTTTAAGCTTCTACATTCTGATGTCTTATTTATCTGTCAAAGCATTGTGATTTGGCTTCTGCCTTCACTTTATTAAAAGGGCTCATTAAGTTTTCCTGTCTTCCTGGTTGCCAATCCTGGGACATTTTCTTCTCCTTTTTTGTATTATTTGGTGCTATTTGACTGCTCATTCCCCCACTTTTGAACTGTCTCCTTCACCAAAATCCTGCAACAACAAAAACCTGTGCACCATTTCTATATTTTGTACCTTGGTGAATAGCCAGGAGTGTTTCTCAAAACTCCCTATATTTCAGGGCACCTGGGTGGCTCAGTCAATTAAGTCAGACTCTTGATATCAGCTCAGGTCGTGATCTCAACGTGAGATCGAGCCCCACCTGGGGCTCCACGCTGAGCACAGAGCCTGCTTGGGATTCTCTCTCTCCCTCTCTCTCTTCTTCTCCCCCACTGTGTGCATGTGCACACACTCTCCCTCTCTCTCTAAATAAATAAGTAAACATTAAAAAAAAAAAAAAAAAAAACCTCTGTGTATGTCTTCCTCTGCTCTCCAGTCTCATTAGTCATTCATTAGTATTGACTATACGTCATAAATATTTCTTGTTCACACCCTGATGTCTCTAACCCAATAACCATGGGAATATAAATCTTCCCCCTGTCTAAAGTTCTTATCTTTACTCCATATTGCCTCAATGGCTCTTTAAGAAAGCATACCTGATCAACTCATTCTTCTCACAGTTTATTTATGCCTTCTTGCCAACAATATAAAACCCAACTGCTTGTGGCTAGCCTTTGCTTTTCTCATCCTGAAATTACACCTTGTGCTGTAGCCATGTTTCCAGAAACCTTGAGTTCCCTCACTTATCATACGATTTTCTTACCTCTATGCTGTGATACTTATTTCTGCCCCTCCCTGGTCTATAGTTTCCATTCTTGTTTACATAGGACTAGACCCCTGTTACCTCCTCTGTGCAGCTTTCACAGGGCACTCCATTGCAGAATTAGGTGTCCAGCATTTATGTTTCCACAGTTTTTATCATAGCTGGTTATTCTTGCATTATATTGAAATTATCTTTAAACATATCCCTTTCCTCACTCTAGACTGTGAGACCTTTCAGAGCAGAAGCTGTGTCCTATGCATCTTGTATTCCTGTATCCCTGGTATAAATGCCAACTCCATAGTGAGAGGTTGTAAGAGTTTGTAGAGTGGATCTTTGTCTTGTCCAAAGAGGCCTTACCTTTCACATTCCTGTTCTAGTAAGCTTATGAATTCATCACTCTTCTCCATGTATTCTTTATGTTTTCTCTTTTCTTCCTCCAACTCCAATATGGTTTGCCTGTGAGATTTTTCTGCCATTAAAAGCTGTTCCAGGATTCGTCTATGAGATTCTTTATGTTTTTCCATGACTTTGTCCAACTACAAAAAGAAAATGCATTTATAATGTGTTAACTGTAAATCCTTCATAATACTGCCATCTTTCATTCACTCTTTTAGAAATGTCTAAGTTTTGACTAATTCATTTGGCAATGGGTTTCTGATATTTTTGTTTGGTTTTTATCATTACTGTTGTTAACTGATACTTTTTGATGCATTTCAACACAAATGTAATCTTTTTACTGTCATAGTTTTTTGTTTTTTCTCAGACAGAATAATTGGTGCCTCTGTAGATATCAGGATAATTTACCCAAACCCATTTTCTGACACTTCCTCCTCTCTCCGGAAAAACTTTGTCAGAGGAATGATGTAAAGTAAAGAAATCCTTAGATAATGTTTGATTCTGAAGCAGCCTAGCTGCTCTCCTGCCCCAGCCCTCCCTCCCTTTAGTAGGCCTGTTGGATCCCGTGGTCCATTATTCACTGAATTTTGCTTCAAGGTGTTTACATATTTTAAGAATTCTTGTTAATCAATTCTGTGTTGGTTATGTAGTGTTAATGTGAACAGATGTTAACACCAAGTCCTCTCTGGTTTCTGTGGCCTACTTATAGCTCTGTTATAAAATGATCACCCTATGCCTGATTTATGTGTTTGTCTTCCCTACTAGACTGTGAACTCACTAAACGCAGGGCCTACATTGAATTTTTTAAAAATTCTTAGCATCTACATCAAAAAGAATGAAATCTTTCCATTTGCAACAACATGGATAGATCTAGAAAATATAATGCTAAGCAAAATAAGTTAGTAGGAGAAAGACAAATATGGTATGATTTCACTCATGTGGAATTTAAGAAAAAGAACAAATTTAAAAAAGAAAAAATAAAAAGAGACAAACCAAGAAACAGACTTTTAAGAGAACAAAGATAGGGTTACCAGAGGGAAGGTGGTTGGGGGGAGGGATGAGTGGAATAGGTGAAGGGGATTAGGATTACACTTGTCTTGATGGGCTCTGAGTAATATATGGAACTGTTGGGTAACTGTATTATACACTTGAAACTAATATAGCACTGTATATTAACTATACTGGAATTAAAATTTTTAAAAAAATTCTTAGGATCTAACAATGCCTTGCTTATAATAGGTGTAAAATGATATATGTTTAAAGATTGAAAACAAAACAAGCAAGCAAGGAATCAAGAAACAAAAAACAAAAAACATGAGGAGAGGAGACTGATTAAAACAGAAGTGGCTCAGGATCTTTAGCCAGTGATAAATTAAGACCCAATTAAGAATGTGGTTTGGGGGGTGCCTGGGTGGCTCAGTCAATTAAGCATCCAGCTCTGGATTTTGGCTCAGGTCATGATCCTAGGGTAGTAGGATCAAGCCCATGTCAGGCTCTGCGTTGACCATGGAACTTGCTTAAGATTCTCTCTCTCTCCCTCTGCCCCTTTCCCCTACTCACTCGCTGTCTCTAAAAAAAAAAAAAAAAAAAAAAAAAAAGAAAAGAAAAAATATATATATACAGTTTAGAAAGCATGTGACTTTCTAGATTAAATAGTAGGTGCTGTAGTTGGTAGTATTATTTGATTTTGCCCTCTGCCTTTATTGTAAAATATTGAAAAATTGTGACTGAATTTGAAGCCAGTTTAAATTGTATATCTTTAAAAAGCACGTACATGACTAGAATCCAAGGCACAAAATGGTCAAGTTATTTCAGAAAAAGAATAGAACAAAGGTATACCAGCATATAGAACCCAACTAATTCCCTCGGACCTATAAACGCTTAGGCTGGTTGTCTAGTTTTCTAATATAGGTTTATGAGGTGCTTTAACACACACACACTCACAGAATACTTCATTATGCCAAACAGGTGTTGATGGTTTTTAATAAATATAACCAGTACTTTTGTGGAAGCTGAAATTGCTAACTTGTATTGCCTGCTGGCAGAGTCACTGTTAACTAATGACCATCTTCTGAGAGGCAGGTTGTAGTGCTCATTTGTCCCAGGTCTCAAGCCACAATAGCCCTCTGAAAATTTCTTACAGTTCTCCAAACATTACAGTGGATTGTAAAGGAAATTCAAATTAAATGCTTTTCGAATTTGAGAGTGAAATAGTGATAGGATCAGCCTTACTTTAGGAAAGTTGTCAGTTGACTTAGAAAAACATTAAACTGAGAATAAACTAAGGGTTGATGGGGGTGGGAGGGAGGGGAAAGTGGGTGATGGGCATTACTACATGTTGTTCAGTGCAGCCACTAAGGAGCTTATATTTGCAATAGGAGTAATTGCAGAGCTATCAAGTAGTGACCTTACAGAGCAAAAGCTCCCAAAGAAAAGAGTCACTGATTCCAGAGGCCTTTTAGCTTACAGTTGAAGTTTTATTCTGTGCCTTAATTTCCCCATGCCTAGAATGCCTCTTGGGAAATAGCCAGTTGTTTTCAATTCAGTTTCTAATACATACCTGACAGATCACATGATGGACCTCATCCTCCCTGAATTCATTACATTTCCCATTACCTGTGTGTGTGAGTTTAGCCAAGCCACCTAACCTTTTTGTACTTCAGGTTCTTCATTTATACATTAAGAGGTTGGACTTCTAAGATCAATTCCAGTGCCAGGATTTTCTCAAGGCAGGAAGTGTTTTTTAAGTGCCTATTATGCTATATGTACTAAAGTACTGTGGTAGTTGCTATGGGGAATACAAGAGAAGTTTGAAGTCTCAGTGGGTATACTCCTACTTGGAAGATAAGACACACACATGAAACAATTAGGAGCAGTATAAGGTGGTACATCATTAAGTACTAAGGGACTACTAGAGAACCATTGCCCCTTTTTTTCTTTATCCCTACTTGCAGGTTGAATAATGCCTGGAGAAGAAACAGGAAGACTTATCCATCATTTCAGGGAATGCCCAGGGCAGAATGATTGTAAAGGTGGCTCTTTAATGTTTACTGTGCAATGGCAAGCTTTCTGCTTATCATTTTAGCTTCCCTGATATTGTGTCCTACCCCTAGCCCAGCAAGGCACCCAAAACTTAAAGCTTACTTCTAAAGGAGGTTCAACAATGGCAGTATTTTTCAAAGTGTGGCAGGCTGACCACCTGCATCAGATGAATCACCCTGAGAGTTTATTAAACATATGGATGTCTGTCTCTCCAGAGGCAAGGGAAACAAAAGCAAAAATGAACTATTGGGATCTGATCAAGATAAAAAGCTTCTTCACAGCAAAGGAAACAATCAGCAAAATTAAAAGGCAACCGACGGAATTGGAGAAGATGTTTGCAAATGACATATCAGATAGAGGGTTAGTATCCAAAATCTATAAAGAGCATATCAAACTCAACACCCAAAGAACAAATAACCCAATGAATAAATGGGCCAAAGACAGGAACAGACACTTTTCCAAAGAAGACATCCAGATGGCCAACAGACACATGAAGAGATGCTCAACATCACTCATCAGGGAAATAGAAATCAAAGCCACAATGAGATGCCACCTCATACCTGTCAGAATGGCTAAAATTAACAACTCCTGCAACAACAGATGTTGGCAAGGATGTGGAGAAAGAGGAACCCCTTTGCACTGCTGGTGGGAATGCAAACTGGTGCAGACACTCTGGAAAACAGTATGGGGGGGTCATCAAAAAATTAAAAATAGAACTACCCTATAATTCAGCAATTGCATTACTAGGTATTACCCAAAGGATACAAAAAATGCTGATTCTAAGGATCACATGCACCCCAGTGTTTATAACAGCACTATTGACGAAGTATGGAAAGAGCCCAGATGTCCATCCACTGATGAATGGATAAAGAAGATGTGGGGTATATGTGTGTGTGTATATATATATACCTATTCATATATACATACATACAATGGAATATTACTCAGTGATCCAAAAGAATGAAATTTTGCCATTTACAACAACGTGGATGGAACTAGAGTGTATTATGCTAAGTGAAATAAGTCGGAGAAAGACAAATATCATATGATTTCACTCATGTGGAATTTAAAAAAAAACAAATCAGATGAACATAGGGAAAGGGAAGCAAAAATAAGATAAAAACAGAGAGGAAGACAAACCATAAGAGACTCTTAAATACAGAGAACAAACTGAGGGTTTGTTGGCGGGGCATTGTGCGGGGGGATGGGCTAAATGGGTGATGAGCATTAAGGAGGGCACTTGTTGGGATGAGCATTGGGTGTTATATGTAAGTAATGAATCGCTAAATTCTATTCCTGAATTTAAAAAATATTTTTTAAAAATATGGATGTCTGGGAGTACCGGGGTGGCTCAGTTGGTTAAGCATCCGACTCTTGATTTTGGTTCAGGTCATGATCTTGCAGTTCATGAGTTTGAGCTCCATATTAGGCTCTGTGCTGACAGTGCACAGAGATGGAGAGCTTGAGATTCTCTCTTTCTCCCCCTCTGTCTGCCCCTCCCCTCTCTCAAAATAAATAAATAAATTTTATTTGGAAAAAAAAGAAAAAAGAAAAGAAAACAACTTAATTTGCTATGGCACCAAAAAATAAAATAAAATACTTAGGAATAAACTTAACGAAGGAAGTGAAAAACCTGTACTCTGAAAACTATAAAACTTTGATGAAAGAAATTGAAGATGACACAAATGGAAAAATATTTCATGCTTATGGATTGTAAGAATTAATATCGTTAAAATGTTTATACTATCAAAGCCATCCTTGTCAAAATCTCAATAGCATTTTTCACAGAACTAGAATAAATAATTCTAAAATATTTATGGAACCACAAAAGACCCCAAATAACCACAGCAATTCAGAGAAAGAAGAACAAAGCTGGAGATATCATAATTTCAGATTTCAAGATATACTACAAAGCTGTAGTAATCAAAACAGTATAGTACTACAGGCACAAACATAGATGTAATAGATGAGTGAACAGAATAGAGATCCCAGAAATATACCGAAACTTATAGGGTCAGTTAATGTATGACAAAGGAGGCAATAACAGACAATGGGGAAAAGACAGTCTCTTCAACATATAGTGTTGGGAAAACTGGAGAGATATATGCAAAAGAATGAAACTAAACCACTTTCTAACACCATACACTTGTATACAACACACACACACACACACACACACACACACACACATAACTCAAAATGAATTGAAGACCTAAGTGTGAGACCTGAAACCATAAAACCCCTAGAAGAGAACACAGGCAGTAATTTTTTGACATCAGCTGTAGCAACATTTTTCTAGATATGTCTTTTAAGGCAAGGGAAACAAAAGCAAAATAAACTATTGGGATTACATCAAAATAAAAAGCTTTTGCACAGTGAAGGAAAGCATGAACAAAACAGGAAGGCAGCCTACTGAATGGGAGAAAATATTTACAAATGATATTTGATAAGGGGTGAATATTCAAAATATACAACTCAACACCCCCCCCCCAAGTCAATCACATTGAAAAATAAGCAGAGGACCTGAATAGACATTTTTCCAAAGAAGCCATTGAAATGGCCCAGAAACACATGAAATGATGCTCAACATCACTAATCAACTGGGAAATGCAAATCAAAACCACAATGAGCGATCACTTTACACCTGTCAGAATGGCTAAAATCAAAAAGACAAGAATAACAACTGTTGAGGAGGATGTAAAGAAAAAGGAACTCTTGTACACTGCTGGTGGGAATGTAAATTGGTATAGACACTGTGGAATACAGCATGGATCTTTCTCAAGAAATTATAAATTGAAATACCATGTGATCCAATATTTCCATTACTGGGAAAACTAATTTGGGAGAATATATGCACCCCTATGTTTATTGCAGTATTGTTTACTATTCTTTGTAGCAAAGATATGGAAGCAGCCTAAGTGTCTATTGAGAGATAAATAGATAAAGAAGGTGTTGTATATATAATATACAATGGAATATTATGCAGCCATAAAAAGTGCTGAGATTTTCATCCTTTACAACAATATAGATGGACCTGGAGGGTATTATGCTAAGGAGAATAAGTCAGACTGAGAAAGACAAATACTTTATTATTTCACTCATATGTGAAATCTAAAAAACAAAGCAAATGAATAACAAAAAGCAGAATCAAACCTATAAAAACAGAATAAACTGATGGTTGCCAGAGGAAAGCGTGGTAGGGGGATAGGCAAAATGGGTGAAGAGGGATGGGAGATACAGGCTTCCAGTTATGGAATGGATAAGGGATGGGAATAAAAGGCACAACATAGGAAATACAGTCAATGATATGGCAATAGTGTTGTATGGTGGCAAATGGTAGCTACACTTGTGAGCGTAGTATAACGTAAGGAGATTTTGAGTCACTCTGTTGTGCAACAGAAACTATTGTAACATTGTATGCCAACTATACTTAAATTAAAAAATATATATTTTAAAGACCTTTGGCTTTTTACCATTTTTACTTAAGCCTCCATCATGCTTCTTTTCATGTCAGGTAGTTTTGGAAGGACTGGATGTTTTGGGGGTCTTACTAACAGGAAATTCATTTGGTTTCACAGTCACTTTTATGTATAGTCAAGCTGTTGCTAGACATCTTGGCATAGGAAAGGCTTCCAGAAATTTATTAGCCACTGTGCCGCCTCACCCAGCCATTGTCAAATAAAGATGAAAGGCCAAAGATTATATCCCAAGATGAATATGTCCTTTGGTTCCCAGCACTGGAAGTTTATGGATTGAAAGAAGAAAGTTTCAAAATATCTGGAGCCAAAAGCTAGTCAGTCAATGAAAATTTCCCTTTCAGTTCCTGGCTTCAGAATTTCTGCTTCTAAGTAAGCTTTTTACTTTCATGTAAGCCCATCTATGTGTTGAAGAGTATGTTAGTTAATTTAACATTTTTCTGTACTTTTTAGTAATATAATTTCAAAGGATATGTAGTCCACAATGTTACTGAAATGGAATTTCTTTATGTTCTACATGACTAATTCATACTCTTCCTCTGGATCTTGGGTTGCCTGATTCTTCTATCTTAATTTGATCTTCCATTATACTCTCTGATAGTGCTTTGTGGTTTTCACCATAGAAATCAATATTATATATAGTTGTATACTTACTTTCTGTCACTCTCTTAGACATTAAATATGCCAAAGAAGCACAACTATTTTTATACGTCAACTCTTTAGTAAAATTTTTTTAAGTTTATTTATTTATTTTGAGAGAGTGAGAGAGGACACATGAGTGGAGGTGGGGCAAAGAGAGGGAGAGACAGAATCCCAAGCAGGCTCCATGCTTTCAGCGCATGGAGCTGAAACATGAGGCTCAAAATCATGAACTGTGAGATCGTGACCTGAGCCAGTATGAAGAGTCAAACGCTTAACTGACTGAGCCATCCAGGAGCCCAACTCTTCAGTAAATATTAAATAAAAGAATAAAATGAAATTTAAAAACTAAATTATACAGTTGCTTAAAACAACTAGTTTAAGAACTGTCCTAAGGTGTTGCTAACAAGATATGCAGATTATTTTATTACAGTACCCTGATAAATCCAAAATATATTTTTCTTGATATCTTTTTTGGAAGAACTAAGAATATGTTAGGCAATTAACTTCAATATCTTTTTTTAAGGGAACTTCTAATATAGAACCCTAGTTTGGAAAGGAATAGGAGGTAAAAAGTGTTATAGACTCTGAGTTCTTATGTCTTCTCTTTCTCTTGACAGCCCAGCTACCCTGTCACTCCATTCCTGTTCTTCTAGCTCACATGCCTCTACCAGTCTTTCATCTTAAGTCATTGTTCCTACCATGTGACGTAACTGAGAGCAGTGAGTTCTTCTAAGCAATTTTGCCTTAAGTATAGATGAATCCCCTTTAGTTTGGTTAAGATTGTTACATTTTTCAAAAAGAGCGTTGTGAAGAAAATAAAAGGTCATGGGATGTTAACACCCCAGGATGGGAAAAAGCGAAAGAATAATTATTCAGCATGCAGATCCTTATTCTGCAGTAATTCAGGTACAGCCATGGATGGTCTTGGTGAGAAAGGTGCCTAGGGAATCCTACTTAAAATTCCCCCGTATTGTTTATTCTCTGGATACTTCCCCTTGCCTCATTACGTCCTCGATAGAAAAAGAGGGCAGACAACTGAACTGTTGGGTAACTAGACTTATGTAGGCTTCAAGGGATGATAGATAGACTGATGACTGAGGAGGGAGAAACCTATAAGGCAGCAGTAGAAGGCAAGAGAAGAAAAGTGCGCAAATCATGGAAGTGAGAATGTGAGAAGTGTATACATAGGGGAGTATGTATGTGTATCTGTTTTGGGAGTAATCAAATACAGTTGGATTTGTAAAGGGCTAAATTATAGATAACTTTCAGGGACAAGCATTTGTAGAGAGTCAGGTTATTTCCAACTTTGCATGTGTTTAATAGAATTATTTTGAAACTAAAGCTTTTCCTAGTCATTTCAGTGTAAGTTTGGAATCATTCCATTCATTTCACACTGAAGTATTGAGGGGTTGTCCCATTTTTGGAGTTTTTTAAGGATATTTTCAGCGATCATCAGTTTGCATTTGCGCTTATATGGGTTGGGGAATTTGTGCCCAATGCTGTTTCACAGTCACTATGTTGGGAGCCAGGATACGGTTTTAACACTCTTGACTTGAATGAAGCTTCAGCTCCTCTTTCTCAAATTTGGATTAAAGTGCAAGTCAACAGACTTTGGGTGGTCTCACCTTCACCCCTCAGAGAAGCAAATCCACATGACCAAACTCCTTCACAATTTGGCAAGACAGTAGTCTTCTCTCATGAGACACCCAAGACAAGAATAGCAAGGACATTGGAGGTCAGTCCTGAGGTAGGTTGCCAGAGCTTATGTGGGGGAAATTTGTCCAAAACTTGCTTTCACTCTCTCCAGCCTTAACTCATGCTCCTAGTTGTTTCCCTTTTATAAAAATGAAAAATTATGAAATTTTCCATTGAGGTCTCGGAGGAAAATAGAAGAATAAAATAAGGATGCCAAAGAGTTTTAGAAATGTCAGCAAGGAAAAGAGCAAGCAGTACCACATCTTCATGTAGTGGTGGCCATGCTGGGACTTTTCCTCTTTGCCATTGTCATTGCTGGGCACTCTTGATAGGGGAAGATCTTTGCTGTTATTAAACTTTTGAAGGAAAAAGAGGATAGCACTCATCTAAAATACATGCTTTCTAAAACTCCATTTCTTGGACAGTTCTTCAGATCATTTCCATTCATGCTCAGAATTTCTATGACATAATATCTCAGTGTTTTCAAAGAAATTAACCTCTGTGCTTGAGCTTTATCTGTTTTTTATTATAGCCTGTATAGCCTTCAAGTCCCGAGAAGTGCCATCCTGTGTGTGTGTGTGTGTGTGTGTGTGTGTGTGTGTGTGTATGTGTCTGGGTGTTTGTGTCTCTATGTGAGTGTGTGTGTGAGAGACAGAGAGAAATTCTCTTGCATTTGTCAGCTTTCAGTCTCATGTCAGGGAACAAACCTACTGGAAACATCCTGTATGATTTATTCTCCTTTTCTTTCCTGTAGAACATGTAGTATTTATCTAGTTGGGAAGATTTTAAATGTGTTAGAACACAAAACTGTAAATAATCAAAAAAGAATTATATGTCATGCTCACCTGCCAGGCCTAGTGCTTGGCTGGCTAGTGAACTTTTCCACCTTCCAGGTGCACACCCCGATGTGATACATACCTCATTCATTGGTTTTTCATAGATGTCCTCCTGCCAAGGGGCAGATTTTGCTTGAAAAGCATCTCGCTGGAGAGCCTCTAACACCTTTTTTGGAGTGACAAACCCATACTGAGCTTCCAGCAAAGCCAAGTCCATTTTTTCAGCCTTTAAAATGCCTATGACTTCATCTCGAGCCTGTAGGAACAAAAGGCATTTCAAAAAGCTTGCTTTATCTACCAGCAGTCTCTGAAAGTGATCTCTTGTGAGAATTGAGTGCTTTTTTCTTCTATTTCAAATATAAACAAATCATATTTGTTTATATTGCCTTTTACAAAAGGTAGCAAAACTATGTCCCTTCATCCTTCTTATAATCTAATTATACATTAATAATATTTGAAAAGTGATCACTGTGCAACATGGGGGAGACTCAACATTTTTTACTGTTTGACAAGCAGATAACATGATACTCTTTCTATGGGCTGACATGTAACATTTTCAAGGGTAAGAAATAAGATTCTCCTATATGTATAGTAGCTGTTTTTAATTTTTTATGCAGGTTAATAATGCTAGGGCAAGTCTAGGAGCCAGTTCACATGGGGTATAAAAGTGCCTTTTGTTATTTAAAGCAATCCAGAAGTCGTCTGGTATTATTCATACATGCCTGTGCACTGAAGCTCATGAGCAGCACGGGCAAAGGATGTGATCTTTCACGTGTTGCTTGCCAATTGCATGTCATAATGAGAGCCCTTTTACGTAGGATTAATTGCCCTTCCAGTTGGCAGAAGACAATTATGTGTATGTGTACTTTCTTTCATGTACATACAGGTATGAACCACAGAGCATCTATTTCCGTGGCAGCATACACACCAAATTCACAAGCAGCCTTCTCCTTGAATGTAGGGATAATTTTAAGCCAGCTGACCTGTAGTTCTCCTTCCAGAATGCTCAGAAGAAATAATAGATCATCTCTTGAGAGGTCCTCTCCTTGGTGACCGATACCACCGTGTGACTTAGGACAGGGAAGAATTGCCTCCGACTCACTGGTGGGGTCTTTGTCTTGCTGCCTCTGCTTCATGTCCTCAGGCCCTTGGAAACTGTGGCCTTTACTATGTCTTGGAAACTGCTTTGGGGCTGAGCCCTCTGTGTCACTGCTTCTGGAACGCATTCTTTAAAGCCTGAAAAGAAGGAAAACAATTTGTAACTCCTAATGGAAGTGGAGTTTTAATAAGGGCACCTATTACTGCTTTAACAGGTCTGCACTCTTGCTCTATTTACCTCAGCCAAAGACTCGATCTTTCTGAAGTCTACAGCAGAGAATGGCATTAGCAGATTCATAAATCACAGTTTTATTTACACTTCTGTTTTTAAAATCAACATTTTAAAAAGGTGTTCTGCTTTGATTAAGGCCACTTATGTCCATGGGTAAACAGACTATATTTGAACTTCATCCACCAAGTATTTCATCTCCGGGATCCAGGTCATGCCTCTAACCACAGCCCAAGTGTTTACTGGAGTTAAGATGTACTTAACACAATTGTAAAATAGTACATTTGCTAATTGTTCTAACTTTCTGCAGATTCACATTATTGTATTTCCTTTGGAAGCTTTAAAAATTTTTGAAATTTCTTAATCTTTGGTGCTTTAAGATAGAAGCATCAGAATTACTGCTAGAAAATACTTTGGGTTACATTGTTTTGACAAGGAAGTCCAATATTAAAGGAATGAAGCCTTGGTCTCTGGCTGTATCCCTGACATTCTGCTAAAATCCCACATCTGTCCTTGAATACGTCAAGAATTTATTGTTAGGACACTTATCTCCAAAACAAGAGACAATGCTGCCTATAGTAGTTGGCCACTATGGAAAATATAAAATAAATGCATATTTGAGGAACACATTAGCTCACATCTGATTATATTATTATCCAAATTATAATAGCAAGAAAAATTGTTCCAGCTTTGAGGTTTTTAATGAAAAGACAGTTTGCATTTTTTTCAGTTTTAGAAAAAATGCTACAGTGAATATTACATTTTTTTTTCCTGTGTACATTTCTCCTTTAGGGTACAGGAGTGGGATTTTGGGGGTGCACAGTGTATGTTCTCTCTACATTTAGTCGAATTTATCAATTTTTAAATTAATTTTTTTTTCCTTATAATTTGCGTTAGACACCAAAACTTGATCAGTGACAGTAGAAAAGAGTGTGAAGACCGTGGACTCTGGGACCACACTGCCTGAGTTCAAATCCCTACTCCATTATTTGTTGGCTGTAAAACTTTGGGGAAGTTACTTAATACCTCTGTGCCTCACTTTTATCATCTGTAGAATGACAATGATAGAATGTTTGTAACCTAAAGTTGCTGTGAGGGTTACATGTCCGCGCACATCAGATATTTGCAACATGCCTGGTAGAAAATTGGCACTCTAAATAAACATTAGCTTTTATTATTAATATTATTATTAACTTTATTTTTATTTCCCCAAATTGTATAGTGAGTCTATATGCCTTTATAGTTAGGAAAAAATTTCAAGAAGAAAAGCAAGTATATTTGATTATCTCTGTCATCTAATGAGGTGTGAGGTATGAATACAGAAGGGAGAAGAAAAGATTACAAGAATAGCTTTGTGTCTTTGCTGGGTACTCTGTTTAAGAAATAATTCTCGGGGGTGGGGGGCGCCTGGGTGGCTCAGTCAGTTAAGCGTCTGACTTTGGCTCAGGTCATGATCTCACAGCTTGTGGGTTCGAGCCCCACGTCAGGCTCTGTGCTGACAGCTCAGAGCCTGGAGCCTGCTTTGGATTCTGTGTCTCCCTGTCTCTCTGCCCCTCCCCTGCTCACACTCTCTCTGTCTCTCAAAAAATAAATAAACATTAAAAAAAAAAAAAAGAAAGAAATCTCCGACGCCTGGGTGACTTTGTCAGTTAAGCGTCCTACTTCAGCGCAGCTCAGCTCAGCTCATGATCTGTTTGTGAGTCCGAGCCCTGCATCAGGTTCTGCTAACAGCTGGAAGCCTGGAGCCTGCTTCCAATTCTGTGTCTCCCTCGCTCTCTGCCCCTCCCCCACTTGCACTCTGTCTCTCTTTCTCTCTCAAAAATAAACAAACACTAAAAAAAAAATTAAAAATTTAGGGGAGCCTGGGTGGCTTAGTCAGTTGGGCACCTGACTTCAGCTCAAGTCATTATCTCTAGGTCTGTGAGTTGGAGCCCCATGTCGGGCTCTGTGCTGACAGCTCAGAACCTGGAGCCTGCTTCGGATTCTGTGTCTCCCTCTCTCTCTGCCCCTTCCCCTCTTGCACTCTGTTTCTTTCTCTGTCTCAAAAATAAAATAAACATTCAAAATTAAAAGAAAAGAAAAATAATTCTCACCAGCCTCAATTTGCTGGCACCACTTGGGAGACCTGAGTGTCAGAATAGTTTAGAAACCTTGAGGACTTCAAAGCCAGCCAGCTAGGCCTTGTTCATCCCTCATCCATCCTTCAACAAGCATTTACTGAAAGTGTGTCATGCGCTTTGTTGATTATTTATGGTGTGGCTTTCTTGCTTCCCTTAATACAAATGATACACTTTTACTTAAAAGTTTATAGAAATAGTTGCTAAAACCGGGATCATGAGAAGTGCACTGAACAAGAAGTCAAATGAAAAGAATTATTTCATGAGGCACCCAGATGGCTCAGTTGGTTAAGCATCTGACTCTTGATGTTGGCTCGGGTCATGATCTTGCCACTTGTGGGTTTGAACCCCGTGTTGGGCTCTAGCACTGGCAGCACAGAGCCTGCTTGACATTCTCTTTTTCTCCATCTCTCTCTGCCCTTTCCCCACTCACACTCTCCCTCTCTCTCTCAAAATAAATAAACATTTTTTTAAAAAGAAAATTTTTTCACAAATCACCTGTGGGACTTAGTTAAAACATTGACCCTCTGTAAGTCCAGTGTCCTTATTTGTGAAGTGAGGGAGATGGGGAGGTGATCTCTATGGCCCCTTTCCCCTATAGTATATAACAATTCTTGCCAGTGTGCCTTTCTTCTAGCATAGACTATCAGTAGTATATTTAGAAGAGACAGATTTGTGGATCTGTGTCTTACAGAAATCCACAGAAATCTAAATGCTACAGGGGATGATAATTTCCACAAGAAAGAGATTATAGTTAGAAGACCGTCCTTAAGGAAATAATCCCAGTAAGAATTTTCAGCTGAGAATTTGTTTTTTAAGCCTCCCCATAACAATCAAGCTATAAAAGCAGAACTTGAAGGTGTTTATTGTCTTATGTGTTTATTATTTATATAATAAATATACATATTTATATGTTTATATATATTATATATATGTTATATATAATATATGTATAATATATATATTGTATTAGTATATATTATATATTATATTGTTAATATATATGATATATATTATATGTTATATATGTTATACATATTATATATGTAATATATATATAATATGTATACATATTATACATATATATACATATTATTATATGTTTTGTCAGCAGTAGGCCAATGTCAGCTGATAACTAGTGAAACACTTTGCTTCGAAGTTGCAGTTTGAAACATGCACTTTCAAATTTTTCCGAGTCACATAATGTGTTTTCTCTACAAGTTATCATTCTCACTTCCCTCTATCACACATTCACTCTATTAGACATTGGAAATTGAAAGATGGTGGTGGTGGTAATGATGATAGCTAATACTTATTGAACACTTACTACATGCCAGGTATTCTTCTAAGCATTTTACATAACTCATTCAGTTCTTGCAGCAACTCTATGGAGTAGGTAAGATTCTTCTCTCCATTTATGGTAAAGAAATGGAGGCACAGCTAACTTACTGAAGGTTGCACAGCTAGTACCTGGCAGAACTGCGATTTGAATCCAGGCAACCTGGCTGCAGAACCTGTACTCATAAAAATCATGCCATAATGCCATTATGCTGTACTGCCAAAGGCAAACAGTTACAGATACTTTGTGGAATGAATATAGACACCCTATCTGAAACATACTTATAGCCTTGCTAAGTAATTACAGTATAGATGAACAATCATCGGGGGTAGTAGTTATCACAGATTCTTCCCTAGATAGCCAAGAAAGAATTCATTTATTTGAGAAAAGCAAAGCATAGAGAAGTATATTTTTGTGTAGGGATGGAAGGTTGAGGTTCTGTGGGAGATATGACTGTGGAAAACCCCATTATATGTATGTGTTTATAAATAATGTATATACATTAGCATAGTATGTGCTATGTATCTTATGAAAACTTGTATATAATGTACCTTTTGAAAACATTCAAAAATAAAAATGAAAAGTATCAGTTAAAAATTATATATCTAATTATTTTCTCCTATCCTATTGAGTTGTCTTAAACATCCCAGGAGAACCCTTGCTCTGGCCTATAGGAATAATGGAAGGTTCTTAACATAGACTAGATCTATTTAAAACAAATAAATATTGTACTGGCTTCAACAGCACATGAACTAAAAAATTGATAAAATAGATAATTAAGTGCCACTTTATTTATAGATTTACTCACACATGAAGGACAGGGCCATCCATGTCTTCTGTCCAATATTATTAATCTCCATTTGCATCTCCCATGGGGTATCTGACCTGGTGCTTCATACATAATGGGTATTCCACAAGGTGACTGGTTTGCTTCTTCCACTTTGTGGCCTACCCCAAAACTTAGTGGCTAAACAACAATAGTTCAAAATTCTGTGGGTCATTCTGTGGCTTAAGTCATCTTGCAGCTCAGCTGGGCTTGGATGGTCTAAGATGACCTTATTCACATATCTGTCTGTCAGCCAGTTGGGCTAGTAGACCTCAGCTGGATCATCTTATCTCTACTCCTGCTCCACTGGGCTCTCAAGCTCTGGTAGGCTAGACCAGATTTCTCCACATGATGGTCTCAGGGCAGCATTCCAAAAGTATGAGAGCTGAAACTTTAAGGTCTCGTTTTTATTGGTGAGACAGCATCACAAAGGCCAGCCCCAATTTAAGAAGTGGAGTAGTAGATTTCACCTCTTGATGGTTGCAGCTGTAAGGTTACATTGCAGAGGAATGGGAAAAGTAAACTACAGCCATTTTTTAAAAACTGTAGGTTTACAACACTTACAGATCCAGATTTTTGAGAAAATTGAATAAATGTCTAGTTTTAAAGAAGTAAAA